GTCCTCTCACCCCCTGTACCTCAGTTCTTATATGCATCAGTAAATAAAATCATTACAATTATGACAATTATTTATTCAAGAAAAAATAAATGGAGTAAATTATGCAAAGTACTTTGTTATTACTATTATCGGGGTAACTGTGAAGCAAGAAAGGGGTGCCTGTGCACGGAACACACACACACACACACACACACACACTTCCCTCTAGATAAAGAGCATTAGGCTTGCCCACTAACTGGAGCAGAAAGGAATGATGCAGGTGCTTATCTTCTCGAACCACCTAGGTTAGGAATGTTTAAGAAAAAAAGTCAGCAAGAAGAAAAGGCATTTGAATAATGGAGTCACCAAAGTGAGACTTACTACCTACCTTACTCAACGGAAGGGACCTTCAAGCAGTCGGTCTGGAGTGACTAGTCGGTCAGCAGTAGTGACGACAGCTGCCAATGGACCCTTGCTGGAACGTAACCCAAAGGGACCCTGAAGGAAGGTGACTTGCCACAAGCTGTCTGCTGCTTATCACTCAGATGGCCTTGTCCTACTGCCTGTAAAAGCGTTTGGACAGCCCTTCAGAGCTCCTTGTCCTAGGCCTGGAGGGTGCTGCCTGCCTCGTGGGTCTCTGAATAAAGGCAATGAGAGCGTTACATTTTACTCAGTTGAATGTGGGTTTTGCACAAGAGGAGGACAGAGAGGCTAAGCCTCTTCAGTCCTACAGTGCCCTGGCCAGCAAGTCCTTCCCTTCAACATCAGTTTGCTCTAATATTGATAACAACAACAACAACAAAAATCCCAACTGGATTTGGACACAATTATCCAAGGTTTCCTTAGATATCATTTTACTTAAAATTGCAGGTTCCAAGATCCTCGCCATGGCATTTAGTGAGGATTCATGGCCTTCGGCCCCACTTAGGCACCCTCTGTAGTGGCAGAGTGAATGGGGTGGAGAGAGGAGTGTCGGTGAGCTTCCCCAAGTTGCACTTCAAGCTGGAGTTTGGCTTGCACACCTTGACCGGGCCATTGTGACGACGCCACCAAGTTCTCCATCATCTCAGCCCATGATTAAGAGCTGAGACTCCAGGCCACGTGCCAGCCATCAGCCCTTTGATCGACTCACTCTGCTTCAATTTCTCATTACTAAAATGTGGGTAGTAAGTAGCACCTGTCTGGGAGGCTTGGGAGGATGGAGCCAGTTAATCTATGCTAAGCATCTGGAGCGATACTTGATGCGGCCTTGACCTGCCAGCATGTCCCACCCATCAGCACTGACCAGCTGTGGGACAGAGGGCTCAGGGGCCCTGGGGCCTATTTCGGCCATAGCTCAGACCTCACCAGTGTCATCAAGATAAAGCCCAGGTACCATACAGTACTGACGAGGTTCGCCCCTCTGGCCTCTAGCTCCAGCCTCCACCCAGCCCCCGGGAACATGGAAATACCTGTAGTTTCTTGTACACAGCATGTTAGGGCTGACTTCCAGCAAGACCTAGAATACTCTTCCCCAGATGTTGACCTTGCTCAAAGTGAGACTTACTACCTACCTTACTTGACAGAAGGGATCTTCAAGCAGTCGGTGTTCAAAGAAACACCCTTTCAGAACCCATAGCAGCATTACTTTAAAAGCAGACATATAAAGATCACGTAGAGTCACAGAGAACTCTCCAGATTCCTGTTCACGCCCCTCAACCAGGGAGATGTCGTTTCTAGAATTCGCAGCCTGTCACTGAACTACTGTCATGCACTGACCCTAGTCATTCGACACTAATCTCTACGGCCTGAAGTTCTGATATTCTGTCCACATAGATCTGATTTAACTTGCCTAATTACATTTGAAGTTCCTTGAAGATAGGGGCCATTATTTTATCAGGCCCTAGGATGGCGCAAGGTGCTTGGAAGTGGATAGTCTGATGAGCTCCATAAACTGCCTCGTGGTTCTCAGCTCCAGAAGATCACAGGGAACTGGACCCTCCTCTTGTGCTTCTCAAGGTCTGGTGGACAACGGTGCTATTTCCCACACGGCAGGCTTTAAAGAAGCCAGAGTCCATGCTGCTTAGCTGGGTGTTACGTGGCACGGTGACATCGCTGGGGGTAGAGCAGGTGATTTCACAGCTGGTAGTAGTTAGTTTTGTTAATTTTGGAAATATCATAACATAGGCCTAGAAGCCTTTACCCTTCACAAAGTCAAACCTCAGTCTTAAATCTTCTGTGCTTCCTAGTGGCATGCTGTGAAGCCCGGCCCTACGGTCCACGAGGAAATGAGGTCCAGGGAGTTTGAATGACTCCCTTGGTGGTCTAGTCAAGGACGTCCAGCACCGGGACTTGGTGCCCTGGGTCGCAGCTGCAAGCCCTGGGCGAAATCTCTGCTTCTCTTGGCAGAAGTTCACGACACCTCGGAGTTGTCATCTCATCCTGGTATCATTTAGAATTGCGCCCCACGGTGATGGTAAAACATGGGCCATTTATCCAGCTTATTGCTGTTTTTAAATCACATCTAGGCTGTCTTCCCTGTATTGCCTGGGGCTTCCATTCCCTGCCCTGCGTAACCGCTGCTCTTTGGTAAGAAACTGTATCAAAACTGGTTCAGTCAATGAAATATTTTCATTCGAAAGTACAGGGTTGGAGGGATGCGGGGGTGGGATTTTCATTTCTCAACATTTCATTTCTCATAGTCAACAGAGGTGACTAGAGGCCAAAGAAAATGATAGTTTTAACTTCTTTGGACTTAAAGAAGCAAGACCTTACATCAGTCTCATATGACAGCAACATCAGTTACCGTTCTCATTAACCATGTGTACACCTGGTGAAAGTGTTCTCTGTGAGGTACTGGGGCTATGGTTGTCAGAGAAGCTGAAGATGAGAGAGCTCTATGAACATGTGTAGGATCATTGTCTCCGAGCATGGGCCAAGGTTAGTCCCGTTCCCCTCACTGCCTCCTGACAGGCCTGGGAAGCGGGCAGTGTCCCGCTTCTAAGAACAGGATGCTGGCCATGCTGGGTGACTGGAGTCTGATACTGGTGAGCTTCACCATGAAAAGACAGTAGGGAGATCCACATGTATTAGGCGCCTACAATGTATCCAGGATTTGACAGACACTGTCTGAATTAGGAGCAGAAATTTCTGACAATGAATGCTCGAGATAGTGGTCATGAACAACTTTAAAAAGAAGCCATAGAAAGAGTGCAAGAGCCTGAGGGCAGAGGCAGCATCTCATGGGAGCTGTATGCTCAGCATAGGAGCGCTGGAGGCCTCCTGCACCCCCACGCCCTCCTCAGCCCACCTGTGTCCTCTGTGGCCTCCTGAGGTTGTGGAATCAAGAACTTAAAAGTGGCCACAACTTCCACAGCCACCTGGGGGTCAGGAGAACCTTCTTCCCTTGCGTCACATTTAAGTCAGTTGCATCTGCCATCACCAACAACAGAGAAAATAATTTTTAAAAAAGTCACTGGAGTCTCTTGGTGAAGCCATTGGAAGTGTGACTTCTTCCTACCAGGGATCTTGTCACTGAGTTTCTTAACTCTGTAGAGTCTCAGTGTTTTCACCTCTAAGATAGGTTTTGTAAAGTACACATTAGTTACAATAAATGTAAAGTTCCTTGAATTGTATAAGCAGATCCAAGCTTCTCTCTAAGAGTTGAAGGGTAAGGAAAAGAAAAGGGAAGGAGAGGTTGAATCATTGATTGCATTTGTTTTATTTTATTAACATTTGTCTTTAAAATATGGCTTAGGGTCCTTTATTAAATGGCAAAATTAAGAATGTTCTTTAACAGATTATCTGCTTCAGCTTCTTCTTCCGTGAGTCAAGATCATTAAAAAATACCATAATGTTCTAATTAGACCACTGACATTTCTTTTCTGTGATGGCCAGAGGACTCAAATTACCATGTTAAAGGACAGGTAATATTACTCTGAGATGTAGCTCCTTGTGATTCTGGTGCTAACACTAATTCGTGATATTGCTTTCAAGGGGGGAGTAAGTTAGGTTCATGGGACAAACGGGGACTCAGACCCCTTTTCCAAAACACAGAGTAGAACTCTCAGGGCATGTAGGAAGTGGAGCAAACTAGCAGGAAACTTAACACATTCAGCGGCATTTGGAGCAGCGGTGGGGAAGCCCGTTAACTTCACACTTCCCCTATACATTTCAAACACAAGGTGTGACTCTGCACCTGGGTTAAAAAGGCCTTCAGAAGGCGACAGGCCAGGTATTCTGCAGACTCTCTGCCTTAAAGGAGCCCGTGCTTCCTGGTGTCTGCTTGCTGGGGAATCCCAGTCTGCTCAGTTCAAGCAAAGGCTTTATACTTTCTGGATGCTTCCTGCTCATTAAGGATGAGGGTTTACTGGTGCTATTGGCTTTTACCATTCGGGGCCCCAGCTCCCCACTTCAAAACCCAAGGAGATTTGCTAAAGAGGAAGGAAAGGGGGACACAGGCACCCACTGGACGCAGCCTTGTGCTCTCCTCCCTCCAGCTGAGCAGGGAGAGCTGTTTCTGCCTCACACGCGAGCACCCCTGCTCGAGGGACTCTCCTTCCCAGCTCAGCCCATGGGCTCAGGAGGACCGGCCAGTCCCAGTGGAGGGGGCGGAGGCCCGTGGGGCCCTCTCCAGCCTCCACGGTGGCTGCCTCCTCCAGGCTGCGGGAGGTGCGCCCCCACACCGTTTGTTTTCTTTGGCTCCCTCATTAATGAGTTCCACAGGACAATGCTAAGTCTAGTTATGTGGCCTTAATTGGTTTAGTTACAACAAGATAATTCCTTTTTTCTTCTCTCGGAGGCCTTTCTGTTTAAAGACATTTTAGCTGGAAGACGCTAATTATCAATGAGGGGAAAGTGACACCTGAAGAGTTCATTTTCCATCTTGGTCCTTGGTGTCTCCTTTGAACTCCTTCTACCGGCTCTTTCCCACTTCATCACTTCTCCCCCACCACCATAAAAGAGGCTTCTGTCGCGGCCCGGGGCAGCACAACCCTTTCTCACTTGCCGGGAGGGAGCCGCTCTCTGCAGCTGTCTGCGGCATGGACGCCCTGGGCGACACCTTCCTGGGCCTGGGCGACGGCCCGGGCTCCTCCTCCAGCGCCGGCCTGCTGTCCTCCTGGGACTGGAAAGCCGGGCCGGGGCCCTTGGAGCTGAACCAGGCCTCGCCTCCGCCGAGCCTGTCCCCCACGCCGTCGCTCGAGTCCTACTCGACTTCCCCCTGCCCCCTTGTGACTGGCCTGCCCTGTGGGCACCGAGGGGCCGGCGACCGGGGCAGCGAAGGCTGCAGTGACCACGGGCCGGGGGGCCTGGTGGAGGTGGATTACAACGTGTTGGCTTTCCAGCCCGCCTATCTGCAGGGCGCCGGCGGCCCCAAGGCCCAGAAGGGCACCAAGGTCAGGATGTCTGTCCAGCGGCGACGGAAGGCCAGCGAGAGGGAGAAGCTGCGCATGAGGACCTTGGCGGACGCCCTGCACACGCTGCGGAATTACCTGCCGCCCATCTACAGCCAGAGGGGCCAGCCGCTCACCAAGATCCAGACGCTGAAGTACACCATCAAGTACATCCGGGAGCTCACAGACCTGCTGGACAGCGCGCGCGAGCCCCGGGCGCAGAGCGCCTGAGCCGGACCAGCCGGCCTCTGCGGGGCGCTGCAGCGTGAAGGCCTGGAGGCCCCCAGGCCCACGGCCCACGGCCACTTCAGGCGCGGAGCCCGGTGACCGCCTTGTCTGGAAAGTTCTAAGGGAATCCCCCTCCGACCCGCTGGACACATGGGGACACTTGACTGCCCGGCGAGCAGGTATTTTTGCTTCCAGCTTTTCCACGTATCTCAGGAGACTTGTCCTTTGCAAAGAGACCGATGGCTTTGCCCTTTTCTGCGGGTGGAAGGCATTTTAAAGGGTCAATGACATTAATCTCCCTTCCCCCCAATAATGCAGAATTGTTATGATTCATCTTCCCTTGCCATTTTGCTTTTGGGAGATTTCTTTCGGTTGCTAATTACCCCTGTATTTCCAACAGGGTGTCTCCCTCCCCATCCTTGTTTAGAAGGATTTGTGTCAAGTTTCATGTCATGTTGTCTCTCTATATGTGGTTGTGTGTGTGTGTGTGTGTGTGTGTGTGTGTGTGTGTGTGGCTGAAAACAGGCTTTTGCTTGTACAGGACCAGAAGTCACTAAGCGCAGACAGAATTAATGTCACGGTTGTCCACAGGCCCAGGGAACGCTAGGTTAAGACCAGAGCATCCTCTTGTTTATACCCAAAGGGGCAGGTATGTTATTAAAAAGGGACAGACACAAGCAGGCAGAAAGAGCTGCCTCTCAGAGGGGAGGCTTAAGAAGAGACACTGTGTAGACACGGGAGGGGGCCAGAGAGCTGCCGGAGTGTCCTGTTTGCAGCAGGAAGACAGGACTGCCAGGCCCGAGCCAGGGAGATGGGCAGGCAGGAGGAGGATCAGCCCACTGCTGGGCATGGAGCAGCCTGGGAAGGGGGGCAGACGTGCCCTGAGGCAGGCTTGGCATGAGTCCCTGCCCTTACTGTTTCGCAGATGAAGAAATCGGCTCAAAAAGAACAGGCTATTTCAACTCTACAGACAAGTGGAAGGGCGAGGATTGGAACGCATCTGTGTCTGACCCCCTCACAGGGGATTATTCTCTGCTCACAGCATCTTCCCTTCCTACCCCGCGCCTCCACCGCCCAAGTCCTCACACCCCTCTCTCGGGAAGATGTGCTTCATCTGGGCGCCCCAGCATGGCTAAACGGAGTGACATGGGGCAGCAACAGTGGGAACTTGAGGATAACTGTGCCCCCCTATTACCGTGGGCCCCACTGGGTAAACTAGAGAGGATGGAGCCGAGGGGGACAGAACAGCGTCAGGTTATGGAAATAACAATGGGGAGGAAACTCTCACCTCAGCCTTGCAGGACTATCTGTGACAGAAGACCCCAGAGCAGAGGAAGAAGAGGGCCTGCTTGGTAAACGGGTCGGTTTATTTAGTAAATAACATGACCTGCTTGTCATATCATTGTAACTTTCTGAAACATGGGTTTTTGAAGGATGACAATAAAAAGGGCTTTGAGACAGTTTTTTTTTTTTTAGATTTTTAATTGTTTCTTTTTAGTGGTCTAAGAGTGTAGGTATATCCCTTTTGTGATAATGTTGAATTTGTAAAATTCAGGGGTCATGTGAAATCTTTTTTTAAGATTATTCTCAGAAGTTTTGAAAAGCTATTAACCAGGATCATGGTGTAATAAGACAATTTTTTTTCCTTTAAAAAAATTTAAGTGCATGTGTAGAGTTAAGAAGATGTACGTTTTTGATTTAATAAAATACTTCTAAAGGAAATAAGGAGGTTGTCAAAAACGTGGAGGATGTTTTCTCTTTCTGATTATGAGCCAATAAAATTGCATTTGTGTTTCAATGACTTGTTTGCGTGTCCTGTCATTTTCCCCCCTTTCTGGCAACAAGTTACAAAGACAGCAGATGTGCTCACATTTTGAAATATTACTTCACTTTTCCCTTTGTGGATGCACATGTATACACATAACTATAAGCCTACATACACTGCAAGAGAATACCTTTAATAGCTCAAGTGGCTTTTGTCTTTTTAACAACATGAGTAAAAGACCATTCAAGTTAATACAAATGAATCTGCTTTGCAATTATTTTCTTGACTTTCTAGAGGAGGAAATTAAAGTGCACATGTGTCCAGAGCTACATTTGTGGAAAGTGGGTGTCCCGGGTTCCAACCAGGTGCCTCAGCACAGATGTTGCACTATTTCTTTAGCAAGACACCTTTTGAGTGAGTCATAGGATGTTTTCCATTTTTGTTCAATCACAAAGACATGCTGTGACAGTGATTACAGACAGATAACTTACCCACTGTTATTTGCATCAGCTAGAAGAACTCCAGGAAATGGGATTCCTGGATCAGAGTATGTGCACATTTTAATTAAAAAAATATTGCTTTTATAAAATCAAATCAGCCACCCCACCTTGCTGCTGGGTATTACCTGTCTTCGGAATTTTTAATGTCTAAAAATTGGCTAGACTATGTCATTGTTGTGTGTGCTGTTGAGAGGGAGCATCTATTTTAGTTTAGGTAAGTAGTTTGGTTCCTTCTAGAACTGCTGGTTTATGTTCACTTGCCACTTTTTCTGTGGATTATTTGTCTTCTTGTTAATAATTTGGGAGTGCTCCTTGCCCATCATCTGTGTTGAAAATAGTTCTTCCCAACCGATCAGCTTTTTATCGTCTATTTTAATGGTGACCTGTAGTTTTGATTTTGATGAAGGTAACTTTGAAGCCTTTTATTTTGGCAGGATCAAATCAATTGTTTTCAGACACAGTTTGTGTGTCTTTTCTCTGCTTAATTTGTTCCAGTTCCAACACACTACATACATGCTGAATTTTTTTTTTAAGTTAGAATTGCTTTTTAGATGGATTTTTAAGAGAATAGCAACTCCCTTTTATCTACAGTGCCTGGGAGGATTCTAACTTTATTTCTGATTAGTGTTTCTATAAATGAAGAATAAACATACTTTGTCATCGGGGCTGGTGGGGTGCGAGGCACCGTCACTAGAGTGTCCACTATGCATCAGCCTCATATAGTTGTGGTAGAGAAGAAACTAAACAACGCTGAGCAATTTCAACCCCTGGGACCACGTGTGAGTATAAGCCTGCACACGCATGTGTCTGGCTCGTGCGTCACGTCTCATATTCAGAGAAGTAGATTCTCGAGGATGGCAGTGGGTGGGGTATCCGGTCTCTGATCGGCTTTTAGCTCAGTTGTTATACCCCCATTCTCAAAAGAGTGGGGCGCAGATGTTCTGGGTTTTGGATTTTTTAACTCAAGCCGTAAGCAAGTTTTCTGATGCCCACAGTTTGGGCAATTTTGGTTGCCTAGGGCAGCAAATATCATGGATGAGTTAGGAGGATCTGTCCTCACTTCCAAAAATGTCTGGAAAAACACAGATAAGCCCAGGAGCCTGGCTTGCCTGGAGGACACTCAAGGTGCCCTCTGGAGGGATGTTATCTGGAAACACAGAAGACAGGACAGCTGCCTGGAAGGGGGCCTGACTCGGACACAGCTCAGGCTTCCCCGTGTGGGAGACACAGCTGCAGGTCCTGATGCCTGCAACGTGCCCTGTGAGGCTGCCAGGCCCGAGGGAAAGAAAGTTGGACAGCGGCCCTCATGCCTCTGGGAGCTTCCCCTGGTTGACTTGGGCAAAGCTGGGGACAGGAATAAGGAATTTCTGGTTTGGAGAGGGAGTCACGGTGCTTGTGTGTCTGCAGGGCTGTGGTCAGAAGAGTCATAATTTGCACTTCCAGTACCCTGACGCCCTCTAGGTGGGCAAGGCCAGTCCCATCGTGGGATGAGGAGGCGAAGGGTCAGGACAGGTAAGCGGTGCAACATCACATGACCAGCTAGGTGCTGGCTGACTCAGCAAACTCATCTCTAAGTCCGTAGCTCGAGCCCCCTCACCCCATCTTGCTACCTGCTCTCCCAGCCCTAAGGACACTGGGCCATGCAGCAGGACAAGGAGGGCAAAGCCTCACTCCGGGCCACCTTGACCTTTTCTCTGCTTCACTGGCTCTGGGGCCCTCATTTTTTCACCCCCTGAAGCATTTCAGGATTCTCCATCTTGACCTTTCAATTATTTTCCTTTGAACTCCTGCCTCTGCCCCAAACATTTCCTCAGGAATTACTCTCCCTGCTGACACAGAGAGAGCTTCGCCCGCAGAGGAAACCTCACTTCTGTTCATCTGTGTTCAATACAGTCAGGGACCAGAGTTCACATCGGGCCAAGGTCTCTTAGTTCTTCCACGTAGTTTCTGCTGCATAAGCTAATTGGGAGCGAGGCCGTGACAGTGAGGGAGGCCCAAGCAAATCAACAAGTCAACAGAATTGCCCTGATGTGGAGACAGTTTTCAAAAAACCACAAAAGAGGACACGCATGTGGCAGCTGTGGTGGTGCCGTCCGAGCTCCTGCTGCAGAGGCCTGCTGGCCCCGTGCCTACACCGGGGATGGAGTCGGGCCTTGACCCCGTGGGCTGGGCCTGCTGGCCTTCAGTCCCTGGAACATGAGGCTCCTGTTCTTCAGCTAGGAGCCCAGGGGGTCTTTGCTCTGCCAATGAGATACTGAAGCTGAAGCAATGCTTCTTAGCACGTCCAGAAGGACTGGACCTTGATCTTCGGATCCCAGAAAGATCCTTGAACTCTGAGGGGAAGAATGCAAGAACTTCTGAGGGGGCTGGGGCGGGGAGGTGGGGCGGACAGGAAAAGACGATTATTTATTTGTCTCTTGGGTTTGGCAACTCTTGAACTCTTCACCTTCCCTCAGCAGGATCTCTGAAGTTCTTCCTCCTACCAACTCTGCTGACTTCAGCAACAAGGCAGAGCTGGAGGCAGAGGTCGGGGGAGCCAGTGGGAGAGGGGGGGAGCCAGTGGGAGAGGGGAGCCTGTGGAGAGCTGCGCCCTGGGCTATTCCCAGCCTCACCAGCAGCCAACAGCCGTGGGGGATCCATCATCATGTCCAGCTCCGTGCCAAGGGCTCTCCACACTCTTCCCCTTTCATCCTGACAGCAAGCCACACCAGGCAGCTATTATTAGCCCATTTTGCAAA